ACAGCACAGCATCGCACGATGGCAATCTCAGTGGGATGCCGCAGAGAAGGGTAGATGGACGCATCGTCTTATACCAAAGATCGACATTTGGCTGAACCGGAATCACGGTGAGGTCAACTACTAYCTAACGCAGATGTTGTCAGGACATGGCTGCTTTCGGGCTTATCTTCACCGCTTARGGCATGACGATTCTCCGGAGTGCCCGTCCTGCCCCGGAACCAATGAAGATGCAGAGCACGTTTTTTTCGAGTGCTCGCGTTTCAATCAACAACGTGAGGAGCTGGAGAAGATCCTGAAGAAGACAATTCAACCAGAGTCAATCGTAGAAGCAATGCTGTCTTCAGAAGCTGCCTGGAATGCAACGAACACTTTTGCCACARAAGTGCTTACAGAGCTGCGTTCCATCGAGAGAAAAAGAGCAAAAGACAGAAGCTAGAAGGRAGAAATAACATCTTAGCCACCAGAAGGAAGAGCGACATCTAATTCCTCCCCCCGCGAAGAAATGCCTTACGGCGGTACCATGGGGGATCAGAGGATAGAAGAGAAAGGGGTTTAGGGTTTAGTGGGTAGGGGCGTCAGCGTCGAGTTTTAGTATGACGCTGCGTCGAGTCGCCACATATCCAGGCCAAACAGCTATGCCTAGAATCCGTAAAGAGGATTCCCCCCCCTAAGGGAGAAAAAAAAACACACACACACACACATATATATATATATCGATAGCGAGAGCGTCGCACAAAGAAGTAGATTAAAGAAAAGAAACCAAGAGGCAGTCATCGTTTAGTAGCCGAGCAAAGAAGGCGTTTTATCATCACTCTGTATTTTTACTTCTTTATATTAAATATATTGTATATCCGTGAAGAGAGGTTTTTCTTTCTACATCAACCTATTAATAACACCGCGGAATTCTTTCCTTTTTACTTGTTAGATATCCTTTAGGAAGACTAACAGGAGAAGGGGAATCCCACATATATATATTAGGGCGGGTCAAAAAAATCAATTATTTTTTTTTTACAAGTGCCACGGAAAAATGGGTTGCTAGACATCTTAAAACAACTCTCACCAAATATGAGCTCTTAATTTTAATAGGAAGATTCTCCGCATCGCAGTTTTTTATTTTTTTTTCAGTCCAATAGAATAAAATTCATACCTTATCATTAATTGATTTTTTTGACCCACCCTAATATACATAATATAATATACATATATATATATAGAGAGAGGGAGAGAGAGAGAGAGAGAGAAAGAAAGAGAGAGAGGGAGAATAATATCTACTATGCTGTATATATGTAAAGATATAAAGATTAGAAAGAATTGAAATTTAAGAGAGAAATGCTACTTTTGATTTTTGAGAAGTGATTTAATGTGTATTAAGTAGGTTGTAAAAAAAAAGTTTCTTATTTGATATTTTTATATAAATATTACAGTCGTTATGCATTTTAGCTATTCAACATGTATACAGGGTGATTCTTGTTACGAGGACGAGTAATACCTTTTTTTTAATAAACAATAGAGAAAAATCATAAAATAAAAAGTTATATGGCGCATCACATGTCACCTTTCTATGACCATACTTTTTTTGAAAATTCCTTGATGCTCCCGCTAGATGCAGTTGTACTTATTTTTTAAAAGGAGCTCTAGATTTTTTTTTACACTATTCGATTCCTTTTTTTATTCAGCATTAAAAAATATAAGGTGAAGGTCAGCGAAATGTCAAAAGTTTAAGAGATATTTGAAGTTTTATATATCAGTAATATATTTTATTACAATAACTGTTCTAATGTTCCTTCATTGCATTCTAAACATTTTGTAATGCGCTTTTTTACATTTTTCATTACATTTTTTAAATAAGAAGAATTATTTATATTTTAAAATTTTTATATTTATTTAATTTTATACTTCATTGAAAATATACTATTTATATATGTTGAGATTAAGTTTTTTCTATTGTAAAAAAATAAAAATTACGTTTGGACAATCAAATTTGTCAGTTTTAACAATATTTAAATTTCTTAAAAGATTATTTTTCTTCTCAAAGAAAACGTTTTGGCCACTTTGATTCTCGAAGTTAGCAGGAAATATAATTGTTTTTATAATATATCAATTTACATAATATATATTATTATACTTTGAATACTTATGCTATTAAAATGTATTAGTTTTGTAAAAGAAAAGTCTTAATATTGAAATATTGCGATATATCGGTTTAGATATTATGGATAAGAAACAACTTATTAAAAAGTTTGATCAGAAAGAAACTACATTATTTTACACATGTACATTATTTTGTGTTTGAACTTTCAGTATCTAATACCAGTTAATAATAATAATAATAATAATAATAATAATAATAAAGGTAATAATAAATTAAGAGGAAAAAAGTGCTCTCAAAGGAAATAAAAATTCTCAGTTTAAGAAATGAATGTTAAATTAGATAAATTATTATTATTTATTATTATATACGTTATATTCGACATTATTTATTATTCTTGCGTCTTGAACATCTTCAGTATTAATATCAGGATCATCCCATCCCCAAATGGAATTTTTATGATTGTGCTCGTGTTAATCTCTGATATTTTGATACTTTGTACCATCTCCCGTTCTACATGCACGCTTTTCAATCATTTCTTGTGAGGTTTTCTTGAGATCATAAGCCCAACCGATTTTAGCAAAACCATCGATAACTGCCGTTGTTAAGTTCAATTTGTAGTTTCCCAACTCAGCAGCTTTGTAATCCCAAGGAAAAACGTGATGATAATTATGCCAACCTTCACCGATAGCAAAAAATGAAACAACAGGGATTTCTGTCGAGGAAATAACACTGCGAAAAGAGAAAATATTGATAAATATTTTTATATTAAAAGTGTTTACATATATATAGGAAACAATTCTATTTTAATAGGAAGGGAGGGGGTGGGGTAATATATTATCACACAAATGCAAGAAAAGTTTATTTAATTTGGTTAAAGAATAAGAAAACGTTTACATACCTATCATATGGTTTTGTGCCCCAAATATGTGCAGCAGAATTTACTAGCCAGGTAAAGTTTAAGGATAGGACGTATCTGGTAGCATTGGCATACCAAGCGTTCCTCAAACCCTCTCCCCAAAAATATATAGGTATCAACGTAGGAATGATGAAACAAAACAATGGCATAAGAATTCTATAATGTCTAATAAAAAAAAAATACAAGGAAATAATATCGATTATTTAATATAAAGACAAAAAATGATTAGTAAATATTCTAAAGTAATTGATATTTACCTGCGTTGCCATACGACCAACCAATCTTTCTTGAGATCGCTCATATCTATAGTAGCACCTTTTATTTTAACATCGGGATGCTTTTTTAGCATAAGCCAACCAACATGAGAGAAGAAAAATCCTCTTTTAGCGTTATGAGGATCGGCATCCGTATCAGTGAACTTGTGATGGTTCCGGTGATTTCTTACCCAATCATAAATGCTATTCTGTAATATAAAAAATTTCATTAACTTGTTTGCATTATTGCACAATTTACGATTACTCGTATATGTGTCATTTTTTTTTATTGATTTGCATCTCATAAAGAATAATTTAACGTGTTTCTCTTAAGAGTTTGTTTTCTATCAAATGAAATAATTGATTTAGATTAGATTCTTATTACTTATTATATATATATATATATACATAATTTATAGTTTATATTTATATTTCAAATCTGTATATAATATTTATTGTTATGTAAAGCGCTTTTTTGTCACAATTAATGAGTTTTTTGATTGACCGGAATAAAATGGAAACAAGTTTTTGTGCGATTATTTGTTTTTATATATAAAAATATAAAAAAAGTGAATGAACTTACTTGAAACGCCATTGTTTGGCAAATCATCAGTATTAGTCTCATCGGCCATTTAGCTTTGTATGCTTTATGTGACCATAATCTATGAGCACCTGCAGTCGTACCGAAGCCTGATATATACATTGCTATTATTACTGTAAAATTGAGAAGAGTTTATTATTTACTGTTCTTAATAAAATTTAATTTATTTTTCGTTTCGTTACTATAAATGAAAATTGCAATAAATCGCTGCCAATGATAATAGAATAAATCTATTATACATGGCATTGTGCGATTGATAATTTCAATCGATAATTGTGATAACTTACTGAATATTATAGTATAGAAATTTAGTGCGGTTACACTTAAAAATAATCCATATATGCAGCATATATGGATATAAAGAAGAAATATTACATTTGTCCATATAATGTTCCACTTATATTCGGTTTTCAATTCTTCTGACGTCTGCATATTTATTCTTCAGTAAGTTTTTTAATTCTTCTAAAATAAATAATAATTAACATATTAATGGGATTTTATTTTTTTTATTTTTATAAATAGAATTAAACAAAATTTTTCATAGTTTTCTTATAATTTAGAATTTTTTATTCGGAAGCTTATTTGCCAAAAATTTTCTTACTGATCAGCTATGAAGAGATAATCAAATCACTTTTTTGATTAGAACAATTTTCTATTTCTATTTCACGTTCATATCACATAAATACACCATTATTTACGATGAAATTGAAGAAATTTGTGGTCAAGATTGATACTTTTCATTAACCCTGTTTATACTGACTTAACGAAAAATATGAATAATAACGAATAACAAAAATATTGCAAATATAATACAAAATAGCAATCACTTAAATATTTAAAAAGAAAAAATATTATTAGAATAATTTATATCTATATTAGAAGTGATTTTAAAGAAATAAGCTACGAAGACCACGGATTAAGGGGTCGCGCTCAGGGACGGGAACAATGGCGAGATTTGATATTTGCGATAATAAACTTTTGATTTCCTAATGCTAATTAACAATAATAATAATAATAATAATAATAATAATAATAATAAATAAATAACAAAATTATACCTAAAAACTAAGAACACAGTTAGTCGAAAAAGGTTCGATAATTTCCGTGTAAAATATTGAATGTTGAAATATCTGCAGAAGAAACGACTTCAAGAAATTATAAAACTCACTAGCGTTATATTAACACGAAAGTACAAATAAATCTGAGACGGAGGTTGAGAACGTAAGACCCTTATATGCCCACCACATCCCCACCATGGGGTTTTTCGTAGAATTCAGTGGTGGGGACTAATCTGTTTCATAGGGATTAAAATGTTTTGAAAGTGGGGATAAAAAACATCCAATGAATTCCATAACATGAGACGATTGAAATAAACCCTGCTACTATTGGTCAATCAACTTGGGGTAAGGATTTCGGAAACCTAACCACTACAATCCAATTAACCACCGTAATAGTAACATTTTTACATGATTTTTTCATTCTGAAGCAATTCGTCACTAATATATTTAAAATCATTAAGATTTTGTAACAAAAAATTTGCTGATGAATGGAATGATGAAATAGTTTATTTTGAAAGTAGTCTTACTCTATTTGTCAATTATTATTTTCTAGTTGTACCTTGTTATTGTACTACTTTATGTTATGTATCAATAAAGCATTTGAGATAATTTATATTTCGAGTAAATATGATAATACTCTATTGTAAATAAGATAAGACAAAAAGTTTTTGTACTAACAAAATAATTTAAAGACGCAATTTTTAAAAGGGTAAAGAATTCTGATGAAGAATCAATAGACTGGGTAAAAATATATTGGATGTGTTTTGTCACAAATAAACCGTATCAAATTTTCATTAAGATATCAATAAATGAGAATAAAAATTTTATAATCCTGAATTTATTACAACGTTAGAATAGACCAAGAAAGATCGAAAATATTGTACTGACACCACTATATAAAATATCAGGCAAATTACAACAGCAAAATTCAATAAACAAAAATTTTAACAAAAAAAAACCGACTACAAAAAAAACTATTTAAAAAAAAAATTAATAATCACTAAAAATTTTGTAGTGTATTCGTCTATATGTTCATTTTTCTATTGATTTACCACCGTTTATTCGTTATCATTATTCTAAACTCGTCTACTTTTTTTTGTTTAACAATGTGTGATAATATTGTAGGATGTGAAAATATTTAGCACTACTTAGTTGTTTCTATATATTTTATGAAAGAGGGTACTCGAAAATTTATTAAATACACTAGAGATCTAAATAAYAATAATCCTGTTTTGATAGCGTTGTAGCACGTTTTCGAATAATATTTAACAAATATTTTCGACATTCGTTGAGGTCACTTTTCATATACGAGTGAACTTTGCATTAATAATGTTTTCGCATTATCTTAATATGATACGGATTTCAACTCGTGGTGTCAGAGTTCATCGCCTGTAAGTGTCTTTCGTAAGACTCGTATTAGCTGGATGTAAAAAACGGCAGGTCGCACTTCCTACTTTTAATCACGTGTTGAAGTTGAAGGTTTATGCGACACAGTCGTGGAATACTAAAGTCCGAGCAGTGTTAACGTGTACATTAGATATGCAAAATTAATTTACATTCATATAGTCACTTTATTTTAAATTCAAATATGGAGAGTTAATAGAAACGTTATTCCTAATATAATTTAAAAAACTTTTTTGTAAAACAGGAAACTAAGATTTAATGTTTTTAAACAAACATAACGAATGTAACATAGTACATGGGTGATTCTCAGATAACTGTGATTTTTACAACTCAAAATTTTTAAAAATTAAAAATGCTTTATAACTTATGTTTTGGGTACTATTGTTCCCCAATTATGCTCAGAATTAAGCCAGTAATGCAGTTCTACTACAACTTTAATAGACAAAAAACTAGGACAAAAATTGAAAATTTCAATGTTACGGTAGTGACAAATAAATGAAAAATTCAAAGTACTTACCTACATCTTTTTTAAATCTTAAAATAATAAAACGAATGATAAATTATAATACTCTCATAATGATACGAAGACTTTTTTGGTATTTTCTTTCTTGATTTTAACAATCTTTAAGCGCTTGACTCTCACCCGGAGTTCGCGGGTTCTAGTCCCCGCTCTCCGACATCGAACGAGGGGACATGCCTGCTCGTTGTCGTGGCTTTGGGATCGCGGGCGTCAGAAATAATGTCCTTGGGACCACCGCCAACATTCGACGTGGTGGGTTTGGGGGGGACCGGACTGCTGCGCTTCGCACGAGGGACGGTACTGCCCGCGAAACCACCACAATGATAGGTGCTCCCCGCAAGGGGTCCGGGCACAATAGTCCAAGGACTGAGCGCCCGGAATAACAAAACACACGAAAAAAAAAATAGTTGTGGCGTCTCGCACCAGCGCAGTGCTGACACCTCTCGGCCAACAGCGCGCAGCTGTAGCAGCGCGCGCAGGAAACGGGCTGACATCTCTCGGCCGACAGCACTAACTTACGCAAGCACCTCGTATCGCGGTTCCACAGGGGCATCCGATTGGGCCTGACCACGCCCTTTTGGCTGGCCGGAGCGGAAGAGTGACCACTGCGACCGTTGCTCTCCCCACTTCCGGATGCCTGGATCGCCGTAGCGGTACACACGCAGGAAGAAACACTTCACTTCTGCTTCGTCCATCGCACCGTCCGGTCGCATTCTTCTCATCGCGCTCTCGTGTCTCTCTTGTGTACAAACTTATTCTCTGTACGTGACCACGTGGCACACCACGCCGACAAATAAAATACCGTCCTACGGGATCAAAGAAATAAACAGAAATTTCTTTCCTCCACACGGAGTT